GCACACGCAGAGAAGAGATGACGTGAGGGCACAGCAAGAAGCTGGCTATCCTCAAACCAAGGGGAGAGGCCTCAGAGAAACCCAATCTGCCAATACCGTGATCTTGGACTTTTAGCCTCCAGAGCTGTGAGGAAATAAGTTTCTATTGTTTAAACCACCCAGTCTGTGGTATTTTGTTATGGGAGCACTAGCAAACTAATACACTGCCCTTCTCTCAGCTTTCTTCAGATCATAAAAATTACGCCAAAATTAAAAAAAGAAATACCGAAAAATGTTATGTAACATTACTGATTATTGCAACACCACTGATATGTCTGACAAAAACACCACAAAATAGGGGGAAATGGAATAGAGCTATATAAGAGTAACAAAAATGAAAAGGTGGGGCCCCTGAGTGGCTTAGTTGGTTTAGGGTTTGACTCTTGATTTTGGCTCAGGTCATGATCAGGTTGGTGGGTTTGAGGCCTGAATCAGGCTCCATGGCAACAGTGCAGAGCCTGCTTGAGATTCTCAATCTCTCAATCTTCTTCTCTGCCCCTCCTCCACTCACATGCATGCTCGCTCTCTCTCAAAAATGAATAAATTTGAAAAAAATAAATGAAAAGTCAGCCTACTAAATGGGAAAAAATGTTTACAAATTAATATCCAAAATCAATTAAAAAAAACCCTCATACAACTCAAAAGCAAAAAACAAACAAAAAAACACACAATCCAATTAAGAATTGGGCAGAGGATAAGAAACAGACACTTTTCATGCATATTAAAACATGTTGAACATCCTTACTCATCGGGGAAATGCAAATCAAAACCACAATTAGATATCCCCTCACACCTGCCATAATGGCTATTATCAAAAACAAACAAAAAAACAAACAAAAAGATAACAATGTTGGTAAGTATCTGCAGAAAGGGACCACTGGCATACTGTTGGTGGGAATATAAAATGGTGCAGCCACTAAGGAAAACAGTATACAGCTTTCTCAAAAAATTAAAAATAGCACTACCATGTCATCTAGCAATTCCACTTCTGGGTATTTATCCAAAGAAATTGAAATCAGGATTTCAAAAATATATCTTTACTTTCATGTTCATTGCAACATTGTTCACAACAGCCAAAATACAGAAACAATCCAAATAACCCAAATGTCCATCCACAGATGAATGAATGAATGAATAAAGAAAATGTGTTGAGTGTATGTATATTACGGTGGAACACTATTCAACCTCAAAAAGGAAGAAAATCCTGCAACATGTGACAACATGGATGAAACTCGGAGACATTTTGTTAAGTGAAATAAGCCAGTCTCAGAAGGACAAATCCTGTATGATTCCATTTATATGAGGTATCTAAAGTGGTCAAACTCAAAAAGTAAAGAATAGAATGGCGGTTGCTAGGATTTGGGACTAAGATGAAAAGGAGAATTGTTATATAAAGTTTCAGTGATGCAAGATGAATAAGTACTAGAGATGTGATATACAATAGACTTAATAACACTGCACTGTGTGCTAAGAGGGTAAGTCTCATGTCATGTCAAGTATGCTTACCACCAAAAAAAAAAAGAGAGAAATTAACACAAGGAAACTTTTGAAAACGATGATGGATATGTTTATTACCTTAATTGTGGTGATAGTATTATGGCTGTATGCATGTGTCCAAACTCATCAAATTGCATACAGTAAACATATGCAGGGTTTTTTTTTCTGTTGTTTATCAACCCTACCTTAACAAAGATAAACAATAGAGAATATCAAGGAAGCCAGAAAAAAGGTTCTTTGAAAAGATCAATAACACTGATAAGACTGATCTAGACTGATCAAGAATAAAGGAAAGAAGATAAAATTATTAAAATAAGGAATGGAAGAAGGGCCATCACCATTGACTTTCTAGAAAAAAAGGATTATAAGAAAATATTATATAAACTTCTATGCCAACAAACTGATTACTTGGAGGAAATGCACAAATTCCTAGAATGGCACAAACTATCAAACCTGATTTAAGGAGAAATAGAATACCTAATTAGGCCCATAACAAATAAAGCAGTGGAACTAGCAATGAAATAAACTTCCCACAAAGCAAAGCTCAGACCCAGATGGCATTAGTTGTGAGTTCTACCGAAGATTAAAAAAATTAATACCAATCCTTCAAAAACTCTTCCAAAAAATAGAATAGAAAGGATCATTTTCCAAATCATTCTCAGAAGCTAGTACTAATGCCACAAAAAACAAAGTCATCACTAGAAAAGGGAATTACACCATTATATCCTACGATTATAAATGTAGTATCTTCAACAAAATACTAGCAAATCAAATCTTACAACATATAAAATCATTACATAGCAAGAAATAGTTGCATTCTGCAAAGGAGGAATTTGAGAACTACTAATGTGGTAGACAGAGACGTGGGTAAATCCTGTCTCTGTTAAATCTAGGCCGGGTTGCCATTTTGGTTAAAAGTAATGTTAAATTTTGAGTAAAAATGATCAAATCTGGTCACTAGAGTGCACGTAATTTGGGGGGAAAACATGGACATTTTTATTTTATTGTAAAGTACGTTTCATATTCAACTGTTAATAATTAAATTCTGGTTTTTTAACTGTAACATATATTACTCAGCGATCAAAAAGAATGAAATCTTACCATCTGCAACAATGTGGATAGAAACTAGAGTGTTCTATGCTAAGCGAAATAAGTCAGAGAAAGACAAATATCATATGATTTCACTCATATGTGGAATTTAACAAACAAAACAGATGAACATAAGGGGAAGGGAAGACAAAATAAAACAAAAACAGAGAGAGAGAAACCATAAGAGACTCTTAAATACAGAGAACAAATTGGGGGTTGCTGGAGGGGTGTTGGGTGGGAGCATGGGCTAAATGGGTGCTGGGCATTAAGGAGGGCACTTGTTGGGATGAGCACTGGGTGTTATAGGCAAGTGATGAATCACTAAATTCTACTCCTGAAATCATTAGTATACTATATGTTAACTAACCTAGATTTAAATAAAAATTTTTAAAAAGTGTAACATTAAAAACTAGGTCACTTACTGTGATGTTTATAATAATAATAAAGACTACATAAGAATTAATTGGCAAATTTCCTTTCTTTTTTATTGCATTATTTTTAAATTTTAAAATACATGCCTACTGTAAAATATTGATCTTAGAAATTTTGTAACTGGTTTTAAAAGTTTGAGTTAATGGGGTGCATGGGTGGCTCAACTGGTTAAGCATCTGACTTTGGCTCAGGTCATGATCTCATGGTTTGCGAGTTTCAGCCCTGCATGCGGCTCTCTGCTATCAGCACAGAGCCTGCTTTGGATCCTCTGTCCCTTTCTCTCTCTCTGCCCCTATCCCCACTCGTGGACACGGGCAAGCTTTCTCTAAAATAAACAAATATTTAAAAGAAAAAGTTTGAGTTTATATGTCTGTTGCCTAAGTCTGAGGGCCACATTCACATAAAGGAGAAAGGAGTCAAAATTCCCCAATTAACAATCTTGTCTTTTACCAGACAAACCATGCACTTCTCATAAGAAGCAACTATTTTAACTCAATCTGAGATAAACCATAGAGTAATAATAAAATATTATGATTTTTTGAAAAACATACAACTATAATCATCTAGCAACTCCTAGAACTTTGAGATTTCCTTTCAGGGCTACCACTAGAATGTAAAACTAATTATGTTTAATCTTGATGTCTTATGCAGAACAGTCATTTGGTTCATTTAAGGGCATATTTTAATACTGGATTAATGCTATATATTCTGACATTTTTCTGTTCCTTGTATTCTGATATAACACTTTAATAAAAGTACAGTAAATAAAACTCTCCCTCACATGAACACAGGAACCATAAATTCACCAATAACTGTTTTTTTATTTAAGTTTATTTATTTCTTTTGAGAGAGAGGACGTGAGCAGGGGAGAGGGAAAGAATCCCAAGCAGGCTCCACAGTGCCAGTGCAGAGTCTCACACAGGGTTCGATCTTACAACCCTGAGATCATAACCTGAGCCAAAATCAAGAGTGGGATGCTTACTCGACTGTGCCACCACCCAGGTGCCCCTCACCAATAACTGTTTTAACAACAACAAAAATTGTTTTGTAAACAACAAATGATTATTAATAAGAAATTACCAAAAGTCTTCATATATAGTGATTTTAAAAACTGGAAATTATCAAATACTAAAATAATAAGCATATATACAACTTCTAGTGTCAACACAAGTATTGTTGTTGACGATTTGATTTCTAAAGGTGATGGAAACAGTGCACAATTGAAGCAGTACAGAGGTATCATTGACCATCTTGTCCCTCAATATGTAAGTTCATAAAGATATTTGTCTATTGTGACCTTAAATAATACTTAAGCATTTTATTGTCTTTTCATCTCAAATTTGTGTTGTTGTAATTGTTGTTATTAAATCTCCAAATGCGTAAATGCATGGTTAACGTGCAATTTTAACTAATCATGATGCCTTAAGTAAAAATTCATTTTCTGTTTGAATCAATATTTCACTTTTTGAAAGCAACAGATGTAATAAGATTAGGAATAAAAAAAGCCTATTAATTATAACTTTTTAAAGTAATCTCTATACCCAATGTGGGGTTCAAACTTACAACCCTGGGATCAAGGGTCACATGCTCTACTGACTGAGCAAGTCAGGCGCACCATAATTATAAATTAAAAAAAATTAAAATAGTACATCTCAGCACACAGAAAGCTCATAAACAAAATTCATAAATTTGATATGATCAATCTTTTAGCTTTATATAGATCAAACAGCATGTCAAGAAAAATTGATTTATCTTCATTATTTATTCTGTTTTATATGATGGTGCTCATAAATTTACTATGTAACATAATATTTATTGTGTAATAGGTGTAATATAAACACAAAGTTTCTCCTCAAATGGTTCATAGTGAAAAGAATTACTTATTTCCCCTTAAGCTTGAACATGACTAATGGCAAAGAAATTATATGAAAAGAATAACTTACCTGAAGTCCCCAGCAGAATGGAAGGGATTTTTAACCTTTACAGTGATTTCTTTCCATGTGTAACATGGGGATTTACAATTTATAATTTCCTAAAATAAAAAAAAAATTCTATATGAAAATAACAAAAGAGTACTATGAATTGCCATATATAAACTTAAAGTATTTAAAAAACAGCCTGTTTAAATATTACAGTGATATTAATTTATATAATTCCCCTTGTCCCACAAATATTGTACTACTAAAATCTGGGTGGGAAAGAACAAAAATAGATTGATTTCACGACATTAATGATCCATAATACTTTGCTAACAAGTGAATTATTTGTCACAATAGTGTGTCCTGAATTGATTTCTTTAAAATTGATTTCCTTAATGACCGAGCATGGTTTCACATCTGCAAGTTAATCAATCACATACATGCCTACTATATGTGACATAAAGAAGAGGCAGAGTGCACACATAGAGCTCTGTGAGTATAAACACATGCTTGTGTTTATAATGTGGTGGCTAAGATGACGTATTTGTACTATAATAAAAGTACAGGGGCACCTGGGTGGCTCAGTGAGTTGGGTATCCAACTTCGGCTCAGGTCATGATCTCACAGTTTGTGAGTTTGAGCCCCCATGTCGGGCTCTGTGCTGACAGCTCAGAGCCTGGAGCCTGCTTTAGATTCTGTGTCTCCCTCTCTCTCTTCCCCTCCCCCACTCATGTTCTGTCTTTCTCTCTCAAAAATAAGTAAACAGTAAAAAAAAA